TTCACCAGAGACAAAGTGGGGAGCAGAACAGGCAGATCAATGAAGTACACTGCTGAGGGGAGCAGCGGGCGGTTCAGGAGAGGTCTGCTGCACCATGGATCTCCTCCAGGGCAGGCGGGGATCGAACTCATGCAGAAGTGGCTCAAGCTTCTTAGTGTAGTGCTTTAACCCACTGCGCCACCAGGGAGGGCCCTGATTGCTATAGTTTTATTGAAAAATTCCAAGATAATCTTATATTTGAATGCAATAAAGATAATTTACTTATCAGCATTTTACAAAGAAAATAATTTTGCATTACAATTGATACAAAATAAATAAAAATATAACCAATTTATAAGACATAAACAAAAGTAAGAATGAGGTAAAATTACATTAATTTGAGAGGGATGATGAAAATGTTATAATAGATTTCATATTTAAGAATTAATATTGAAATACTTTTCCCTAAAATGGGAATAGATAGAGCTCAATCATGGTAACTTCTATTGAATACTGTATGTAAACCTCTGGTCTGTACAATAAGCCAATAAAAAAGAAAAGTAATTGCATATGGAAAGAATAAACAAAATGTGATTATTTATAATAAAATAACAATTTACATTAAAAAAATCATCCCTCATATATTGATATCAATTCTAGATTGATATATTAGACTGATAGAACTAAGGCATAAAGTCAGCAAAAATATTTCATATAATTAATTCAATAAACCCACTTCGGCTGTATTGCTCTTTACAGCAACAAAAATTGCTACAGACATCTCAGACATTTCAAAATAAAATGCCATGCAAAAGCATAAAATCATTTTCTATGACTTGGGTAAAAATGCAAAGCATAAGAAATAAAGCAAGATGAGAAAGGATTAAGGTTGATACAGATTGAAAGACTAAAGGTGGCAAAGATGACTAATTTCCAAATTACTTTAAAGATTAAATATCCTCATACATCACAGGATTTTTAAAAACTCAATTTTTAAAAACTCAATAAAATTGTAATGCAATTTTATTGAGATATAACTTACAAAGCATACATTTCAGCCACTGAAAATGCATACATCAAAGCCATTTAGCGTATTCAGAGTTTGCAAATGTCACTGCTCTGAGCACTCAAAAGGCCTCATCACCTCAAGAGATATAGGGAAATAGAGATATAGATGGTCAGTTCCTCATCCCATCACCCCCAGTTCCTGACAACCCCAATCCACATCCCATACCTATGAGTTTGGCATTATATATAAATGGACCAACACATA